ATAATATATATATATATATATATATATATATTTATTATTTTTATTTTTATTTTTTGAGATTATATGGTTAAAAAGTAAGAAATTTTTTTCGATTTTGTGTAATATTATTTATTGAAGAATGTGATTTGAAAATGAATTTCGAAAAAATGAATTTTTGAAAAAATAAGGTTCAGACAAAAGCTTAGTTAAAAAATTTCACTGGGCTCAAATCCTCCAAGTTTTGCTTCTTAATTACTTCCAACAACTAATATATTAGATAACTCGAGCAATCAAATGTTGATAAAGCTTTTCCTATTATTAATTTGGAGAACAATTTTGTTTTAGTTATACGCTATAACTTTACGAACAACTTTGCAAATTTTTTTATTTGAGCGGATATTTATCTATTTTTGTGTAGAACATATTAATTATAGATAAAATTCCATAATGGACTCAATTGGCATGAATAGGACACTTTGGATCTTAATTGAGGTTGATTCAATGTAAACTGAATATTATCGGGAATGTATGTAATCAACTGGAGGGAATTCAAAAGTTTCGAGAATTAAATTCAACAATTGAGAAGTTCGTAAACTAAATTGTAAACTTTCAGAATTTGCATTGGTTCAATTACGAATAATTGTGGAATATTGAAGATTAAAATGTGAATATAATTAAAAAATAAAAAAAAAAGACTGAAATTGCACATAGAAAGGACCCAAGCTAAATAGGAGAAGAAATTCAGGGACGAAAATGCAACAAGTGTTAACCCTCATGCCTTACGATCTCAAGAGCTTGGGCGATAGCAAGGACTTAAAATTCAGAAAGAAAGCAAAACGGCTAACTGTGCAATCAAACCAAAAAGCTTGTGCAATTCCACATGTCGGTCTGATAAGGAAACTCTAGTTTTTTTTTTTTTTTGGTTGAAATCAACTTCTATTCGAAAAGTAATTATGACAAATATTTAAAAGAAAAAATAATAAAAAATAAATCCTACACAAATATTTAAAAGAATTAAATTTTAATTAGGACGAAAACCTAGAAATTATAAGTTGGCGTAAGAGCAAACATGATCATTGTGTATGAGTTTGTTATTTTAATAAAGTGATTAAAAGTGACAAAAAATCGTTATCAATAGTATGGATAGTCAAAAAAGGCAGGTGTTAAAGTTGTACTCACACGATTACATATTTGAAAACTACGTCACGCCTGATTTAATTACCGGTCATGAATATTTTTAAGCAAGAGACTATGACCATGTCACCGTGGAAAAAAGATCAAGAAAAATGCAAAACTATTCATAGACTTAATTAAGGTGTTTGGGCCACATTATTTCAAAAAAGTATATTTTTAAACAGTAATTTGACATCATTTCAACCACATATTTTTCAATAAAATAATATTACACGCAGATTAAAAAATTTTCCTTATTTTTTAACCACACATTTCTCATCAATACACTATTCAAAAATGCATTATTACCAAAATAATGTGTCTCAAACAACCTTGAGTAAAATTACGATGTGTACTTTTGCTGTTGATCGAAAATTGAAGTCGAATCAGTCGAAGATTCTCATTTACTTGAACAAAAATGATTTCATGGACCAAGATTCAGTTGATAGAGGTTGGAGTCGAATTGCGAGGGATATTATAAAGAAATATCATTATAGCATGCTAGAGGAGGTGCTCCTCCTTTACGGTACACCGTCTAAACCAACTATTTAGGAAAATGACATGATTGTCTAAAACAAATGCTCAAGGCCTACTTGTAATGACATCGTAGCAAATCTCGTGAACTAATAAGATTCTTTTAAAAAGTGGTGGCTTAGAACTCTAAGTCTGAATGAGTATAGCTTGAAATGATAGGAATAATGGGTTCGAGTTCATCAACCTATATGAAAGGATGAAAAATGAATGAGAAAGGGGCTCCAATTCCCTCTCTATCTTTGCTCAAAATTCCAGCAATTTCTTTCAAATTTCTTTGGCCAGTAGCCTACTGTGCGATCAAACCGGCCGACATATTCACTTTTAGCTGGCAATTAAAAAGTAGACCTAAAAATAATCTTGAGATGTTTTATACTATATTATTCTGCTCGCAGACCAACAATCTTAGGAGATTTGAGTAAAGCAGAAAATTGTAAAAATCAACAGATAAACAATTTTAAAATACTTAAAAAGTCAAAACATAATGAAAATATTTGAGCATTTTTAAAGATGACCTGAGTAACATTAGATAGATTAAACTAATCAAATATATAATTTTAAAAAATAACGAAACAACAAGGTTCCAGAGAAAAAGTGAGAACCATAATCCACAGCCACAGGATTCTCGCTTAATTCAAATTCAGAAAGAAAGCAAAGCCGGCTAACTGTGCGATCAAACCAAAAAGCTTGTGCAATTGCACATGTCGGTTTGATAAGGAAAATCTAGTTCTTTGTTGAAATCAACTTCTATTCACGATTTTTGACCTAATCTTTGTGTATGTAAATACATGTCTTCATCTACAATTATAGAAGAGACTATTGGGTGCAAAATAATAAATTCTGCAAAGAAAAGAGTCCTAGTGGAGGCTTTAGATCAACAAATTTATAATTCTTTTAGAACTTTTTAGAGGGTTTGTTGCAAAACACATCATACATACTTTCATAAATCTATTACTTGGATTGAGGAAGAAGAAGAATAATAATCGAAGAGTCATCGAAGATATTCAAGACTTCCACTTTCTAATTTATTAGTTGATCAATCCATATAGCTATTTTCTCAGTTCAAGTTTCAAACGGATAAGCAATTGAGTCTTGAAATGATTTTTCTTTTTATTGCATTCATTGCCATATACTTTAAGTATTGCTAGGAAAATCATTTATATTTTAGTTTTTTCTTCTGTCACTTAAAAGTCGAATGAGATGAAAGTCTTATACATCAATTTTGAACGAGAGAAAGAATTGAATCCTCTTTTTGATCTATTGAAACATTTAAAGATATAGTAAATATTTAAGTTAAATTTGGCTGATGCCATTTCTTTGAATTTTTCATGCGATGTGAACTTGGCTCTCAACGAAAATAGCTATTCTTAATTGGAATTAACTTTTCACAATTAACATATATTATCGTTTCTTATTTCAATCATTCTAGCATATTACATATTTAAAAACTAATGATTTTGTGTAAACCTCCAATTATCTGTTCTATAAAAAAATATAAAATACTACACTAATATTTAAAAGAATTAAATTTTAATTAGGACGAAAATTATAAGTTGACGTAAGAGCAAACATGATCATTGTGTATGAGTTTGTTATTTTAAAGTGATTAACAGTGACACAAAATCGTTATCAAATATCAATAGTATGGATAGTCAAAAAAGGCGGGTGTAAAAGTTGAACTCACACGGTTACATATTTGAGAACTACGTCACGCTTGATTTAATTACCAGTCATGAATATTTTCTCTAGTTAAAATTATTGGTTTCCTCCAAGCAAGAGACTATGACCATGGCACCGTGGAAAAAAGACCAAGAAAAATGCAAAACTATTCATAGACTTAATTAATTACATTGAGTAAAATCACGACGTGTACTTTCGCCGTTGATCTAAAATTGACGTGGAATCAGTTGAAGATCCTCATTTACTTGAACAAAAATGATTTCATGGGCCAGGATTCAGTTGATAGAGTTTGGAGTCGAATTGTGAGGGATATTATATAGAGATATCATTATAGCATGATAGAGGAAGTGCTCCTCGTTTACGGTACACCGTCTAAACCAACCATATAGGAAAATGACATGATTGTCTAAAACAAATGCTCAAGGCCTACTTATAATGACATCGTAGCAAATCTCGTGAACTAATAAGATTCTTTTAAAAAGTGGTTGCTTAGAACTCTAAGTCGGAATGAGTATAGCTTGAAATGATAGGAATAATGGGTTCGAGTTCATCAACCTATATGAAAGGATGAAAAATGAATGAGAAAGGGGGTCCACTTCCCTCTCTATCTTTGCTCAAAATTCCAGCAATTTCTTTCAAATTTCTTTAAGTCGGTGATATGATAGATACAGAGCATATGGTTTGGACCTGTAGGGTGTATGTGAATGGAACTATTAAGGGAGAAATTTCAGAGCTTCGAGAAATGAAAATTGGAAAGTGGAAATACAAAAGAAACAATAATTGTATATTGGAAGAAAGAATGAACGAATTGATAGGCTCCCCTCCATGGCAGGCACGAAGAAATGCACTTAGAAATTCTTAAAAAATAAATAAATAAAAATAAAAAAATGAAAAAGTGATATCGAAAAAGATCATCTATTTTTCAAGAATGTCGGATTCTTGCTAAAAAAGAATCGAGATGAATTTATTTCACAAGAAATTAATAATATATTTAATGCATAAAAAACATAATATATAAACACTATTTTAGATACGATATATGCCCATCTTTAAGGTTCCGCTCTTCCCTATTCCTTGTTTATGGTAATACAGTGTCTCGAAATGCCATAGAAATTGTTTTTGCATCGTGTTTGGTTTAGTTAAATAATCAAAATTTTAATAGATTTTAATGAAAAAAAATGAAATGTGTAATTAAAAAGTTGATAAAAATTGTGATCTTTATTAAATATGTAATTGAAAATGAGTTTTAGAAATATTGAGTTTTAAAAAATGAAAGTCAAACATTGATATAATTAAAGTAAAACAAAATGAAATGAGATGTACATGTAAAGCGTGTTTGATGTAGTTTTTTAAGAATAAAATTTGTGAAATTTGATTTTTCTAATTTGATGAATTATTATTAAAAGGTATATAAAAATTATACGAATTATTTGATTGAAATTAAATTTCAAAGAATTTATATCAAAAAATGGCAAAGCCTCAACGAATAGAAGAAAATCTTGATAGAACGGTTGCACCATCTTACATGGGGACCGTCAAATAGAGAAGCACCACCTCATTGGGTGCCCACCGTCTCCAACGAGCAATACTTGTAAATTTGTTAGCAATGACGATGTTTACATTTGCCACATATGAGTATCCAACGTCAACACATACGTGGATTCCTCGTTCCCATTATGGTACTCTCGAAAGTCTGACTCCGACAGCTCAACCCTCTAAAGCTAGATTTCAACTCCGGCCTTATCCCTCCATCTTCTCTATATATATATCATTAACACTCATGAAACTGCATTAATTTCTTTCCCCACAAACCAAAGAAAAAACCTACCTTTAACTCTTCATAAATTCATCATATTTTACCAGAAATGCCGAGAAAAGGGATGAGAAGTTTGTTGTTTTCACCAAAAATGTCTACTCCTTCTTCCCCCGTATCTTATTTTCCTTCGCCATCGCGATTTGGATTCTCGCCGTCTAGGCCGAGTTTTTCCGAGTCAGTGATGAATCGTACTCTGGAAATGGGTGAGCCTATAATCATGAAATGGAACCCAGAATCTACCACATTTGCCAAGGTTACTTCTCTATTTTACGATAATCGCAAGGAAGCAATAGATTTCATCAAGTGGGTGAGAAATCTACAAAAGGCTATGAAACTTTTCATCACGGGAAACTCCAACTCAGAAAAATTAGTCCGTGCGCAAAATTTGATGCAGATTGCCATGAAAAGACTCCAGAAGGAGTTTTATCAGATATTGTCCATGAATCGAGCTCATTTGGATCCTGAATCCGTTTCCACACGGTCCTCTATTACCTCGGTTCGGTCTAGCGTATCAGATTTTTATGATGAGGAAGACGACGATGATGATATCAGGATTGTGAATGAGTGTATAACAGAAGTAGAAGACGCCTCTAGTATTGCAATGGCAGATTTAAAATTAATTGCAGATTGTATGATTTCTTGTGGATATGCCAAAGAATGTTTGAAAATATACACAATTATCCGAAAATCGATAGTTGATGAAGGTATTTTCAAGCTTGGTGTGGTAAAATTAAGTGCTTCGCAGGTTCATAAAATGGATTGGAATGCTCTGGAATTGAGAATCAATCATTGGCTCAATGCAGTGAGAACTGCAGTAAAGACTCTCTTCGCTGGAGAAAGAATCCTCTGTGATCATGTGTTTGCTTCTTCAGATTCGATCAGAGAGTCTTGTTTTAACGAAATTACAAAAGAAGGAGCCATGATTTTGTTCGGATTTCCAGAAAATGTGGCCAAAAACAGCAAAAAATCATCGGATAAAGTGTACCGTATTCTGGAAATGTACACCGGTATATCCGATCGCTGGCCAGAAATCGATTCCATATTCTCCTTCAGTTCAACGGCCATCATCAAATCTCAGGCTCTGACGTCACTCGTCAGGCTCGGCGAGTATGTACGGACCGCATTGTATGTCTTTGAATCGGATATCGTAAAGGATACTTCTAAATCTCTAGTAGCTGGTGCCGGAATTCATAATCTGACGATCGACGTGATGAATTATTTGTCGGTTCTATCGGATTATAGCAATATTCTCTCCGATATACTAGCTGATTCACCACCGCCGG